GCACTGCAGCCTCAAACTCCTGGGCTCAAGCAATCCTCTTGCTTCAGCCTCCTGAGTAGCCGGGATGACAGGCATGTACTATGGCACTAGGCTCTATCTTTCTTTCTTTTTGTCTTCCTATCTTTCTTTTTCCTTCCTTCTCTCCCTCCCTGTCTGCCTTCCTTCCTTCCTTCCTTCCTTTTTTCAGCATCCTTGGATTATTTCCTTGACTCAGACTCTTATCTCACCATGTCATCAGCTGCTTCTCTGTAGCTTCCTTACAGTGTCTCCCTCCCTGGGAGTAAGTCCCTGTCCTACTCTAGCTCCAAATTTCCCAGACTTTCCACAAAATCCAAACAAGAGAGGAGTTCACATGCAGCATCCCTGGACTGGGGAAGTGTTTCTACTGAAGTTGCTGCAAAGTTCAAAGACACAAAATGATTTTTTCTTATCTTTATCATGATAGGGGTCATACTACAGCAGTATATAAAATATATATGTTCAGTTAAAATATCAAAGTAAAAGAATATCACAAAGCCACCCTTCATTAAGAAATAGAACATAGCCACTTGCTCAGAGCTTCCTGAAGAATTGGCCTTTGGGATGGATGAGAAGCTGACAATGCTTTATACAGTGTCTTTCTCTCCTTCAAAACCTTTTGTCTCCTTCCTCCCTCTTCTAGGCTCCCTTACACCTCAGAATCCTCTTGGTTTTAGAGAACCTAATACCAGAGACTAATTCACACTAAGATATAAGTTTGTCCCTCCTGTGAGGTTTTAAAAGTAAATCAAGTAAAAGAACTTCATATCACAAAGACGTGTGTGCAGATGGTAGTTTAGGCACCAGCCAGACCAGGGGGAATGCAGTTTCTGCCCTATTGTGTAGTGCAGAAACATCTTTATGTTTCTAGCTTGGCTCTCAGCGCCCTGCTCTTATCTAAATTTCTGTTTATTCATCCACAGAAATCTTAAAGAAACTGTCTGCCTTTACTAAGTAGCGTATCAAAACCTGAACGAAAGAGTCCTTGGACAAGAAGCTGGGAGAGGCACACACAGGACATCTCTCTCATATCCTTTGGCATCAGGTTATTTATGGTCGCTGGGGGGCAGCACTTCTCGTTTACAAATAGAAAGCAATTTCTGTCCTACGGGACACATCCTACTCCAAATGTTATTTTAAAAAATACACTTCTGATAGGAATTTTGATAGATGGTTTGCCAAAATGTATCTCTGTGTCCATACCTCTTGGCAATGTAACTTTACAGCTCCTTACATCATGAAGTGGAGTTTATTTCCCCACCATTTGAATCTGGGCTGGCATTGTGACTTGATTTGGTCAATAGAATGTGGAAGAAGCGATGGTGTGCCATTTCCAAACCCAGGCTTAAAGAGGCCTTATAAATGTCTGCTCTCTTTCTTGGAGCCCTACCCAGCCATGAACAAGTTGGGCTAGAATGCTGGAGGATGAGAGACCACATGGAACGAACAGAAATAAGCTTTCCTAGCTGAGGTCACACTAGACCAGCCAGCCTGGCAGCTGACCTGGTTACATGAGTGATCCCAGTCAAGACCAGAAGAACCACCCAGCTGAGCCAGCCGAAATTGCCCATTCACAAAATCATGAACTAAATAAATTTTTGTTGTCTTAAACCACTAAGTTGTGGAGTGGTTTGTTATACAATAATAGTAACTGAGCAAATACTGTTCAGTCCTTCTTGCTCACTGAATCAAATACAAACTCCCTACTAGGATACCCATAGCTTATGTCTCTGACTCCAACCTGACTTTCCATGTAAGGTCCCAGACTTCTCTCCTATCAGAGATTGCAAACTCTAATGTCTATAGGGCCTAGGAGGGAACCTAAATGAGTCAGTTGAGCCTGAAGGAGACTTAAGTAAACAGATAACCTCTAGGAAGAATAGCCTCTGCTCAGCTGTTTTATTTTATTTTCTTGTATAGAATAGGATCGCAGTGTTTTCAGACCTTTCCATTTTGTCAAAAGCTAGAAATTTGGATTTTTCTTTGAGTTGTCCCTATTTATTTATTTATTCATTCATTTATTCATTTATGACAGGGTCTTGAGACATTGCCCAGGCTGGTCTCCAACTTCTGGGCTCAAGTGTTCCTATTGCCTCAGCCTCCTGAGTAGCCAGGATTACAGGTGTGCCATTGTGCCCACCTCCCTAGTTTTAAAGGTTGGCATCTCATCAACAATTGTTTTAATGCTGATAAGGCAAACAAAATATGTTAGCATAGGAGCTGCCAGATTTTAATCCCTGCCAGACTTAAACACATGTTTCTGGCATGTGGCCCATTAGTTCTGAATTGTTTATACATTTGCTCATAGTGTTTGCTTTGCCTAGGATATGCTAACCCCTACCTCTACAGATTGCATTTTTTTTTTCAGAACTCTTCTCAAATTATTCAACAGCAAATGTGCTAGGCATAGTTCTAATCACTGAGGAGACAGCAATAAACAAAATATGTTTGGACCTTATATTCTAGTAATCATCTCTAATGAATAAAATGATGGCTGATTTCTAATTTTTTTTGTCTTTTACTTATCCTTGATTTTTTTAACCTAGAACTTTTTTTTTGGTAAATAAAAAAATGCAGAAGAATATACATTGACAGGTTCAACATTTGACCATTCTTTTCTAGAGTTTATTGTTATTACTATATTCATCTTTAAAATCATTTGTTCTCTTTACTGTATGAGCTACAATGAAAATTCTCCCTGTAGAGGAAGGCTTCACATTCTGGCAGACCCACAGATAGAAGTGGATTTACTGTGAAACTAATAAAGCTTAATCTTCAGGGCCTCTCATTTGCACAGGATGCCTTTCAAGGGCACCGTACCTAATTTTTTCATGGGATTTATTTATGAAAATTTTCAAATACACAGAAAAGTTGGTAAAATTGTACTCTGAACAACCATACACCCACCA